TTTCCCCCTCTGTGGTATGTAGCTGCTCAGAGTTTAGTCTTGTATTTTTTAACCTGGCTCCGTAGGGGCAGCCACTATGTATAGCTGAGGAGCAGCCATTGATTTGGAAAGTTCGCTCAAACACTTCCAGCCCGCGAGGCTCCTGTCTTACGCGACTTGAAATGTGTGTGGATTGTCAAGTGCCTTCAGAGGGTGTCAGCTGTCACATCTGCCCTGCTGTTGACTTTGTGCAGACTCTCGGGTCTTCCCTGCTCGGACACACGGTTCCTCGGTTGTGGAAGGATTTGTGGAGAGCATATCTAGCACTTCATCTGCTCTCTCCTTTCCAGAATCGCCCAATTAAATTTATGGCTGTTCAAACACTCATTCCAGCGGGGTCTGCAATCCCAGGCTAGCAAAGCACGTGCTTTCCTCATTCCATTTGCCACTTTTAGCTAAGAAAAAAAAAAAAAAGCTGTGAGATTTTCCCCCAACCCCCAAGTCAAGGATGCTCTCTGCCTGCAGGCTGCTGGCTGTCCTAGCCATTCCTCGGCAGCCCTGCCTTGGTAAGCTCGCATTTTTGAGACTGAGCTCGGGCCCTGGACTGGAGAGGAGCTACCCCAAGCAATAAAAGGCTGCAGACTCCCACTGTTCTTGAATGAAGCTTTAACAGGTTCCCAAGAATAGACACTTACGAATTTGCCTGCCTTTGGGTGGTTTCCAGAGTCCTGAAATAGTTGATTCTTTACAGTTCTGTCCAGTGTTCTGCTTGTTTTTGGTGGAGAGACTTCACCCAGCTCTTCACACCACCTTCGGCCCCACTCTTTTGAAATATTCTTAAGCCATTTATGTAATATATTTTTATTGATTTCAGAGAAGAAGGGAGAGGGGGAGAGAGAGAGAAACATCGATGAGAGAGAAACATCAGTCGGCTGCCTCCTGCACACCCCCTATTGGGATTTGAGCCCGAAACCCGGGCATGTGCCCTGACTGGGAATCGAACCTTTGACCTCTTGGTCCATAGGTCAATGCCCAACCACTGAGCAACACCAGCCGGACTCCCTATACTAATTTGAGTTTAGAAAGTGAAATGAAAGCAATCATTATAATGATATTTTATTCAGATAGTGTGATACGGATTATTTGTAGTTATTCTCTTCAAAGTAATAAAATAAAAAATAAGCTTTTATGCTGGACTATGATGCTTTGATATTTCTTGAGGCAGCGGTTATAATAGTTTTATGCCAACAATGGACACCTGGTGATCTCATTCAGGTCAAAGACTCCATTGTGCTACCTCGGTGAAGAGGAAAAATAGCCTACCTAGAAGAAATCTGGGAAGCAGACAATCACTAAAATACAACATAGAAATGAAAATCGGCGTATGTGGTCTCCATTAATCTTGCCGAACGAAGACAATAAAGGGTTTTTCTAAGTAGCAATTCGTGTATTGACACAAAGCAATGACACAGATGCTAAGTTTTAGAATAAATGCTTTTCCATTTCAAAGACAGGCTGTGTCTAAAGAAGAGATAGAGGCCACTTCAGTCTACCGGTGGGTTAGATTATAGTTGGCCCTCAGGGAGAGCACTTTCAAGAAACGTTTTCTTATCTTCTATAGTAGTCTCAGGGCATTTTACTAGGGTCAAATCAACCATTTGGTTAGATAACCAATAAACACCTGGTAAGTAACTTATTTTGAATGACATTGAAAGAAACTTCAGGGCATAATTTAATCGCACAAAAAGCACCAGGTAAAATGTCACAACTGTGATTTATTTTTTGAAGTATGTCTTTCACATTTTAAAATTTCTATTGGGAATTAGTTGCCAAGTCTGACACCCAGACGTAACTATTTAAGTCCTATCAGTGTCCGTTGTGTTTCTCCGATGTCGTGGGTTTCAGAGCATTTTATTTGAAAACTCCCAAATACTATGTAATCGTCTTTCCTAATTAAGAGGCCTTCTTAATTGCTTGTTTGCTATTACGTCTATTAGACAAATGCATAGTTAATAGATTTTTTTTTTCAGTGAGCTTTCTGGTATTGTTAATTTTGTTCTTTCTTGTGATTGTTTGTTATTAAACATAACCTGCCACACATTCTTATGAATATATAGCAAGTTCCGTACGATTGGTTTTCATTCTTTTATTTCACCAAGGTAGTCCTACCCATTTTCTGAAAGATCATCTACTTTCTAAGAGCTCCTGTCTCTAGGTTAGACATAACAAACATGAACATACTGTGTTCATAATTGATTCTGTGATAAAACTGCATAATTAAAAAGGCACTTATATTTAGAATTTACATTGAGAATATTGTGTAGTTTAATGAGCTGAAAAATAATTGTTTTCTGCCATGTCTTGTTGAATCTATGGATATTTCATTTAATCACTTTACGTACATGTTATTCTGGTGTTTTTATAGATGATTTCTTATTTTAGTTTAAAAATATATTTTTATTGATTTCAGAGAGGAACAGAGAGGGAGAGAGAGATAAACATCAGTGATGAGAGAGAATCATTCATCCATCGGCTGCCTCCTGCACGCCCCCTACTGGGGGTAGAGTCCGCAACTTGGGCATGTGCCCTGACTGTGAATTGAACCATGACCTCTTGGTTCATAGGTCGCTACTCAAGCACTGAGCCATGCCAGCTGGGCTGTAGATGATTTTTTAAACATCAAACCACCAGATCTAAATATTTGAATAAATAACCCAAGTGGCACGGCTGATGAGTGACAGGGTTATGGCTCGAATGTATTTCTACGTATCAGTATGAGCCTTCCACCGCCAATCTAGAGCGAGCGAGTGAGCATAGAGAGGGACACGCCGCTACGCAGAATGGAACCTGGCCCTGAAATATTGTCCTCTTGTCTCTGTGTGCTCTCCCCTACCTGCTGTGGTTGGCAGCTCCCATTAGAGCTGTCTTCGTGGCACCGGAAAAAGCCAGTGCTTGAAAAATACCATGCCCTGTTATTGACTCTGTGGTCACTGCCCTGGCATGGAATGGGTGGCTTCCTTCCCATTCCCATTTAAATTTCAGATGAGGTCCGTGTGCATCAGCAGAGAATGATGGTCCAGGGAGCCGACTGCTTTCTCTGTAGAAATGGCACTCTCGTGTGTTATTTTTATGCTTCGTGTAAGTAATTACTGCGTTGGCAACAGGGAAGTCATTTTCGGGATATTCTATAAGTAGCTGCAAAGTTGGAAGGTATTGTAGGTGTAGCATAAAAGGAAACCATGCAGACAGCCGTGAAGTTAGGATTATTCTAGCCACATTGAGGAAATACAGTCTGCAAACGGATGTTTACTCCTTGGGGAGTGGGGTGCTGACAGGGAGACCAGCTGGGAAGAGTAAGATCCCACTAATGTTCTAAAAAGAATGCATTGAGACGCTCTATCAGTAATATCACACTAATACCAAGATGACTTATCAATGAATATTTTTGAAGGTGTCAGTAGTGTTAAATCTATTAAGGATAAAATTAATTATAGACAATTTTATTAAAAAGAAACATAATACTTGCCCGGCCAGTGTGGCTCAGTAGTTGAGCGTCGGCCTATGAACCAGGAGGTCATGGTTCAATTCCTGGTCAGGGCGCATGCTTGGGGTTGTGGGCTCCATCCCCATAGGGGTTGTGCAGGAGGCAGCCAATCCATGATTCTCTCTCATCACTGATGTTTCTTTCTATCTGTCTTTTTCCCTCCCCCTGCCTCTCTGAAATCAATAAAAAACATATTTAAAAAAACAATTCTGGCAGGCTCCTTTAAAGACACCTGCCCAGGTTGGATCATTTGCATACTCGATCTCAACCTCCGCATTCATATCTATGGGAATAGCTGCAGCTACTGGTGTCATTTGGTTGAACTGTTGCGGTATTGATTCATTTGATTTGCTCAACCTAACTCATGTAACCAGGATGCGATTTATCTTAATTTTGGTTTTGGTTGTAGAGGTTGGCGATTTGAAGGAGCTGCAGACACTAGACATTTCTACCAATCGTTTGCTAGCTTTACCCGAGAGGCTTCACCTGTGCCTTTCTCTGCAGTACCTCACCGTGGACCGAAACCGGCTGTGGTGTGTGCCGCGCCACCTCTGCCAGCTGCCCAGCCTCAATGAGCTCTCCATGGCCGGAAACCGGCTTGCGTTTTTGCCGCTTGGTAAGTGAGCGCGTGGGTACGAGAAGGCAAAGAGGCCAGGGAGTAAGCTAGGACACCTTTGGCTCCTTGACTGGGAAAGAGGAGTTAGTTTTCTTCATTCTGTTTGTCTTGAAGATTCCTCTCTCAGTTCATCTTTGCCATGAAGAAGGCAGGATCCTGCCCAGGTAACGAAGTTCATTTCAGGGTTTGAGATTAAAAGAAAAAAAAAATCTGTGCAAAAAACATGATTAGGGACAAAACGTGAAATATGAGGTGATTTACTCTGAAAAAGGATTGACATATATAGGGTATCCCCCAAAAATGTCTACACACTTTGAATAATTGTAAAGGCATGTTTATCAAAATACATTTCATGTTCAAAATTGAGCCATCAGCGGTTAAAGTGCGTGTGCATTCTTGGGACACCCTGTATGCATATGTACACATATGTAGTATATTTTAAATGTAGATAACCATGCAACTGACGGGTTATCGAGCAACATGAAAGGGTGGCCACTAGTACAGATATATCTGTTAGATATGGGCTTCTATGTGGAAACATTTGTATCGGGTGTTCTAATGATTAGCATTGCCAGGTAAGCAGACTAGACATTTTTAAAGACTGAGCTAGAAATGTCACTCTGAACCTAGCCGGTTTGGCTCAGTGGATAGAGCATCGGCCCATGGACTGAAGGGTCCCGGGTTCTATACTGGTCAAGGGCATGTACCTTGGTTGTAGGCTTGATCCCAGGCCAGGGAGCCTGCGGGAGACAGCCAGTTAATGTGTCTCTCTCACATCGATGTTTCTCTTTCTCTATCTCCCCCCTCCCTTCCACTCTCTCTCAAAATCAAGGGGAAAATGTCCTCAGGTGAAAAACAAATGAACAAACACAAGAGATGTCACTCTGGCTAGTAACATTCTCCACTGCTGACTTGTGTAGTTGGCCCATTCTGACATAATACACTAGTATGTAAACAAGCATTGGCCTTTAATAAAACAATACATTTATTTTCACTGAGAATTGAATTCTTTTAACTGGTAAGAAACAAAAGTGCCACTTAAGAAAATTTCAGTACAAAACCGCCCCCAGTCTGTGCTGGACAGTCAGCATGAGCCTCCTTCGCTAGGATCTTCCCTGAAGGAATTCCTGGGGTTTATTGAAATCCCTGCCCTAATCCGGAAGACAGAACTAGCTCACAGTGATCTGGGCCTCTAAAGGAACTGGACACGTTGTTCATCACTCAGCTCTCTGGCAGTGCCTCCTGACGTCTCACCTGGACACTGGGCACAGTGCCAGTCCTGGGGCACCCACAGCACCCATGCAGCCTGCTTGATGGTACCATTTCCTGGTTACAGGGGAGCGCCCTGCTTCTGTGGGGTGATCTGTTGACGGAGGTTGTCTAACTCACAGCGAAGCAGGCCGCCCCACCTTTAAACTCCAGCTCTGCCGCTGGAGAGCTGTGTGAGCTGGGGCTTTGGAAGGCTTTTTCGTTTGTATAAGGCTCAGTAACAGGGCAATATCAATACCTACTTCATACTGCTCTTGAGAATTAAAGAAGATTCTTTTAAAACACTATCGCTCGTAAATACTGCATAAGCACGCAGTCAGTATAACCTGCCTTTATTGTTTCCCAAGACTGAAAGCAAGGCTTGGAGCTGTGTGTCTTCCCTTTTGTGCCCCAAGAACCTAGCACAGTGTCGAGCCCATTGCTTGTAATAATGTCTTTGTTACCTGAACTGTGGGACAGAATTCGATTTCGAGATACTGACACCTGCATATTTATACCAACAACAAAGGCACACTTCAGTCATTCAAATTCATTAAAATCCACTTACTGTAATTTAACAGTTGTTGATTCACTCTGTATAAAACATCTGATTAAATTACAATTCACTGTGAAATCTTACTTAGCAAAAGTTGAATAGATCGGAAAGAATATGATTATGTAAAAGATTTTGTGGAGCGTGTGAGTATTTGAAGAAGCTAGCACTTAAAAAATTCATTATTCTGAAAAAGTGGTTGAGAAGTTCTCTTTGTAAAAGGCCTCATGTAGGTAATTTATTTTTTAGTTTTTAATATGTTTTTATTGATTTCAGAGAGAGGAGAGGAGAAGGAGAGAAACATCAATGATGAGAGAATCATTAATCGGCTGCCTCCTGCACACCCAACTCTGGGGATGGAGCCCAAAACCTGGGCATGGGCACTGGACCTCCTGGTTCATGGGTCGACGCTCAACCACTGAGCCACACTGACTGGGCTCATGTAGGTAATTTATATTACCTTTAAAGTATTTTCCGAATAGACTATAAATTACTCTAAATTCATTACGAAGATACCCACATTTTATAGGCATTAAAAATGTAATTATGGCTAATTAGATATCCAATCGATCAAACTCTGATTATTGGTATAATATCGATAGAGCATTCTGAACAACCTATTTTGGTCTGTTGCTTTCATGGTGCTGTCCCTTTTGGCTTGTCATTTTCTTGAAGAGAATCCATCATTCATCTTTGATAAAAGAAATGAGTTTCACCCTGGTCAGGTCTCGGTAAACAGATCCTGTTGGTCCTGGCCCGGGCTGCGGTGCCGTGCTTGCTTTGACACGGCAGCTCAACAGCAAGCACCCCCACACATAAGACCTTTTTGTTCCCTCGGCCGCCATGTGGGCCGCATATGCCGGAGCCTTGAAGTTCAAGGAAAAAGAGTTGGAGTCTGTGCAAGACCGCTAGCTTTTGCTAATTTGCAAGTCACAATACTTTGATCTGGGCGTCTGGAAGGAAAAAAGGAAAACACTTTAGACACTTTAAAAAGCCACATGAAGAAGTTCTTTGTGGCTCTCGCATCTGTGCAGATGTTCATTTCCTTGCTTTATGAAGTTCACGTCCTGAGCATTTTCGCACAGGAACTAGGAAGGGTGTTATGCATGACATATTTTATTGCAAGATATTGGTCCATTAAAACTAACAGAAGGAAGAAAACGCACCAGCTCATTAGCTAGTGGGTCGCTGATACCTTCCAAAGGTAATTATTGCCCGGCCAGTGCGGCTCAGTGATCAACCTATGAACCAGGAGATCATGGTTTGATTCCCAGTCAGGACCCATGCCCGGCTTGTGGGCTCCATCCCCAGCGATTCTCTCTCATCATCGATATTTCTCTCTCTCTCTCTCTCCCTCTTCCTTCCTCTCTGAAATCATTTCTTAAAAAAAGATTCACAAAGTTAGCTACTGAGTGGAAATTTTCTCTTTTCAGAATAGAATAGCTCAAAGCTTTTCCCTGCAGAAAGCACTTACACGTCAGCCTCAATATGATCAGAAAGACCACTCCGTGTGCTGGAGGTTCTGCCGGCGGACAGCTCTCCGGCTGCGTGCTCCTGAGGTTGTCACAGCGCTGCTCCTACAGCCCGTGACCTTGCTGGGTGTTAGGTGTCGCTGCCTCGCCAGCAGGCCGTGCTGTGTCAGCTAATGCAGGAGTGGCCTGGTTCTCTGAAATTCCGCAGTCTTTTGTGATTTTTCTCTTTATATCCAGAAGGGAGAGGTAAAAGAAACGAAGATGCATTGAGCGCCCATTAGTATGCAGGGGATCGAGTTGGCATTGTGTGCACTGTTGAACCCTCATAATGAGCCTGCGGCCTGGGTCCTATTCTCTCCTTTTCACAGAGGAGGTGACAGGCACTGGCATTTCCCCCAGCAGCACGAAGCACGCAGAAGGTGGAAAGCCAGGGTTCAGACCCAGTTCTGACTCTAAAGCCCACATCATCGTGTCAGTTCACTACTGTTTTTTCATCCTCTCTATGAGATTGTGTTACTTGGCAAGTTTAAATATTTGTATTAAAAACTCACAGCCATGTGGTATACTGGCTAACACGTAATAGACTTTAGCACAGTCGATTCCTGTTTTCTTTCAGCTTCAATAGAAAATAGTTCAGCTCCGGCCAGAGGTGTTCAGTGGTTAGAGTGTCAGGCTATGCCAGTGATGGCGAACCTTTTGAGCTCGGCGTGTCAGCATTTTGAAAAACCCTAACTTAACTCTGGTGCCGTGTCACATATAGAAATTTTTTGATATTTGCAACCAGAGTAAAACAAATTTATATTTTTGATATTTATTTTATATATTTAAATGCCATTTAACAAAGAAAAATCAACCAAAAAAATGAGTTCACGTGTCACCTCTGACACGCATGGCATAGGTTCGCCATCACTGGACTATGCACTGAAGGGTTTTAGATTTGATTCCTGATCAAGGGCACATACCTGGGTTGCAGGTTTGCTCCCCGCCCTCGATTGGGGTGGGTGTGGGAGACAGTCAGTCATGTCTCTCACATCTATGTCTCTGTCTCTCTGTCTCTGTCTCTCTCTCTCTCTCTCTCTCTCTTTTTCCCTCCCTTCATCCCCCCCTCTCTTCTCTCTCTAAAAATGGATGGAAAAAATATCCCTGAGTGAGGATTAACAACAGCAGGAAAAAAAAACATTAAAAAAAGAAAATAGTTCATTCCATCACGAGCCTACTGTATACAATAACACCCCCAGCCGAAGAGGCGCAGAGAGAACTCCCTGGAACTGAAAGCCCACGATAAGATCTAAGCCAGCTGCGTTTTACACCATCGACTCCTCATTGTTTCCTCTGCACCCAGGATAGGAACGAAGGCTCAGGGTATCGGAAGCAGCCAGTGCCAGCTTAATGTAGCTTTGTGCTGGGGTCTTTGCATGCTGCCTCCTCTAATTGCACGCGCTCTCCCTTCCGTGTAGCTCAGAGGAGAGAGGCGCCTCCTCTGCCATGTCCCATTTTGTGTCCTTGGCTCAAGTGGATGAATCACCCTCTCCCAAGGCCGTTGCCTCCAACCCTCTTCTGTGTAGTTCAAGTCCAGAAGAGCGCCAGTACCTTTTGCTGATGCGCTTCATCAAGTTAAAATTTTTTTCATGATAATATGTTTGCTCATTTTCCCCCTTGGAAATATTTTTCTGGTGTTTTTTCTCAAATGTATTTTTATTGACTTCAGAGAGGAAGGGAGAGAGAAACATCAATGATGAGAGAGAGACATCGATTGGTTGCCTCTTGTACGCGCCCTGACCAGGGCCGGGGATTGAGCCTGCAACCGAGGTACGTGCCCTTGACTGGAATCGAACCCAGGACCCTTGAGTCTGAAGGCCCACGCTTGATCACTGAGTCAAACCAGCTAGGGTGAGAATTCTCTCATAATTGACCCTCTCCTGGAGGGCACACCTCCAAATATGTCCCTTACTAATAATCACGAGAATAATAATAATTGCCAGGTATTGGAGGAGGCTGTGTGCCAAGAATTCTGCTTGACAATTTAGAAACTCTGTTAGTAATGCCCACTGAATTTAAGAGGCAGCATTATCCCCCCTTTGTACAGATGGGGACACTGAGGACACACATTTTGTAAATAGAAGGAGAATTCAAACCCTGGGCGTCTGACTCTGAGATGGTGCTCCCGTGATGAGCGTCCTACACGCCTCACCGCTGGTCAGCTCAAGCAGGGACTCCTTCCTTAGCCCCCTAGGGACTCTAAAAGGCACATCTGAGCCGAGAGCGTATTTGGATTGTGTCAGAGTCGTTTCATTCAATTTTCCGTTTCATGTTGTATTGGTGCGCGGTTACAGGAGTGATGGTACTTTGCTTTCTGGTCCAGATCTAGGTCGATCGCGAGAACTGCAGTACGTGTACGTGGATAACAACGCCCACCTGAAAGGCTTGCCGTCCTACCTGTACAACAAGGTCGTCGGGTGCAATGGGTGAGCGGACGTCCCGTGTCAGCCTGTGCCCAGCTCTTTGCTGCCTTGGTTTCTGTTTCATTATTTGGTCTTGGTCTCACTTAGGGAGAGATGGACTGTTTTGATAATCCTGCTCAATTTTATCTTTGGCCTGAATATGCTAAACCACATACCTTTAGAAGCTAAGCATTTGGGGCAAGCAGGTTAGAGCGCTGTCATTCAAGTTCCGCCAGTCAGCTGGGAGTTCAGACAGGACACAAGTAAAAAATGAATCTCTGCATCTCATTCTAAGCTCAGGATCAGTCACAGAACGGGCGTGTCAGCAGTGACGTAAACGCTGTCCTCCTCAGTCCTCCACTGCAGTGACCCCCTCGGATCTGGAACGGTACCACTTGGACTATTCAGAACTCAACGTCTGCAATAGCCCCTCATGCAGATCATGATTCTGGCAACCAAAGCAGATGTTTCACTTAATGGGGAATGAGAGGCAGTTGTTTTCAGAACCGCAATAACCTTTTCTTCTCAGTCGGGCTTTTAGAAAGATGGCTTCAGCCCTCTTGGCGTGGCCCAGTGGGTTGAGCAGTGACCCATGAACCAAGAGGTCGCTGTTGCATTCCCAGTCAGGGCACATGCCTGGGTTGCAGGCTCCATCCCCAGTAGGGGGTGTGCAGGAGGCAGCCGATCGATGTGTCTCTCATTGATGCCTCTTTCTCTCCCCACCCCTTCCCTCCCTCTCTCTCTGAAAAATCAATAAAACATATTAAAAAAAAAAAAAAGACAGCTTTAGCTCCTCCCGCAATAGTGGGTCGGACCCACCTTAAAATGCTTCCCAGAGGGGTTTGGGGTTAATGTAGGACAACCCAGCTTCCAGAACCTGCTTTTGACTGGCCCCTTGCTTCCCTCACTTAAAACAGCCAAAGGACGCTTGGAACACCTCTGAGGCCACTTAGCACGGTTGACTCTGCTCTCGTAATCCCCAACACCCTGCCTAACCTGCTTCTTACCATCGGCAGTTCTGGCCAGAGAGGGGATGGCCATCAGCTTGTGCACAGCTGTCCCCCTGCCGGCATGGCTCCGGGGGATGGACATCGAGCAGCGATCGCTCTCCGGAGAGCGTAGTGGCCTCCCCTAGGAGAAATCTCAGGGCTGTGATCTTAGGAGGGTCCTAGATGAGATCAGCGCCTGTGCAGGCTGATGAAATACCAGCCGGGCGGTGACTGCAGAGCCCCTGCGAAGTCAGTGGAGTTGTGAGGCTCAGCGGTTTCTACAGCTGGTGTGACAGCTGTGACTCCCTCAGTCAGTCACTGATCCTGACGCGGTCTTCCAGGATCCGCACGATGGCCCACTTCTCCCGGGGGAGGGAGATGCCCCATCACCGAGATCCAGGGCCTGATGCAGGCCAGCCCCGAGGATGAGGCCGTGTTATCGCACCAGGCCGGGCCTCCAGAGACGGCGCTGCAATGGACTGAGGCTGCGCCACGATTGAGGGAGCGGGCCTTCTGCTCCCGTGTTGAGATGTGGATGTTGTTGACGGCCAGAACGTTCTGTTTGTTCTGAGCAGGGAGAGATGTCTTAATCCTTGACTTGGTGTCTGGTAGCAGAGAAAGTGAATTTTCTGGGGGCTCCAAATCTTTGAGAAAAATAAATGGTACTGCAAACTATGCAGATTTTTAGCTAGTAGCCCTCATTTTATTGTTGTTATTAATAGTGTGGTAACATTTTCCTTGGATACTAGCAATAAGAAGATAAAATTGTTATTAGAAGGAGAGCACCACACAGTCAGCTTTCTAACAGTGGTAGTTGGGAGTGTAGGCAGTCCCACTGAGAAAGGCCCAGAGGCATTTTTAGTCTGTTGGCTTAACTCAGCCTGCATTGTCACAGGTGCAATTCTGGTGCTTCTCTTCCAGAATTGCTCTTTAAAAGGTCTGGCTGGTATGGCTCAGTAGTTAGCATCAACCTAAGAACCAGGAGGTCACGGTTCGATTCCTGGTCAAAGGGCACATGCCTGGGTTGTGGGCTCGATCCCCAGTGTGGGGCATGCAGGAGGCGGCAATCAATGATTCTCTCTCATCATTGATGTTTCTAGCTCTCTTTCTCCCTCTCCCTTCCTCTCTGAAATCAATAAAATATACTAAAAAGAAAAAGAAAAGAAAAGACCTTTTCCTCTCCTGCATCACTTTGTGGGTGTTATTTAGTCTCTGATGAGGTCAAGGGAGGTAGGCCATGGCCAGCAAAAAGGTCCCTAACCCCTGTCATTGCCTCCCTTGCAGCCTGCATCCCATAGACCTGCTGCTCTCCTCCATCTTAGGCAGAGAAGGCATTTAATAGATGGATCCTAAAATGGATTTAATTAGCTCTTTCCATCCAGTCACGAAGAGTAGGAACTTCTGCTAAGAAAATTGTCAAAGGGAAATTAGACCTTATGCAAAACGAGGATCCACTTACTTGCTAGTGAGCCTTGGTAGTAGTTTCAGTCAGATCCCTGTCTTTCTCATTATTGGAGACCAGGAGAGCATTAGGGGAAATCTGGCTTTGAGTTTTCTAAACCTTTATTTGTTCCTCTATGTTATTAAATTCTTCAGGCGGTTCCACGCAGAGTCCGTCTGCAATTGGGTTAAGAACAGCAGCCGCCAAGGCAATAACAGTGTGAAGTAAATACTCACGAAGGATTGGCTTGTCTCATTGTTTTATGGCTTTGCTCGGGGTTCTCATACTACAGTGTGGCTATAAAGTTTGGGAACAAACACTCTTTTACCATGTGTTCTCCATAGCAACAGAACCAATAGAATGAGGTGAGGGGGTGGGTGGGGAGGGGGATATTAATTTATTTTAAGAAATTGGCTCTCCCTAGCTGGTTTGGCTCAGTGGATAGAGTGTCGGCCTGTGGACTGAAGGGTCCCGGGTTCGATTCTGGTCAAGGACACTTGCTCAGATTTTGGGCTCGATCCCCAGTAGGGGGACTGCAGGAGGCAGCCGATCCATGATTCTCTCATCATTGATATTTCTACCTCTCTTGCTCCCTCTCCATGGCTCTCTGAAATCAATAAAAATATGTTTAAAAAAAAAAGATAAAAAATGAAAAAGAAATGGGCTCATCTGATTGTGAAGGCTGGAAGTCTGAAATCTGTAGGCAGCCCGGGGAAGAGCTGATGAGGCAGCTTGAGGCTGAAGACACCAGAGGCAGAACTCCCTCTTCCTCAAGGCACCTGTTCTCTAAGGCCTTCAACTGACTGCATGCGGCTCCCTCACGTCACAGAGATGAGTCAGCTTTAGTCAAAGCCTACTGATTTATGCCCGGCCGGCGTGGCTCAGTGGTCGGGTGTCGACCTATGAACCAGGTGGTCATGGTTCAATTCCTGGTCAGGGCACATGCCCGGGTTGCAGTCCTGATCGCCAGTGGGGCGTGCAGGAGGCAGCCGATTAATGATTCTCTCTCATCATTGATGGTCCTATCTCCTTCTCCCTTCCTCTGAAATCAATAAAAATATATATCTTTAAAAAGAACAACAAGCAAAGTCTACGGTATTGCCAGGCAGGCTTTTTTTTTTGCCTATGGGTATACAGTTGTTCCGACACCCTTTGTTTAACACCCTAACCTTTCTCCACTGTATTGCCTTTGTACCTTTGTTGGAAATTAGTTGTCCACATAGGTGTGGGCCTATTTCTTGTTACTCTGTCTGCCCCATTCATCTCTTCGTCCGTTTTGACACCAGTAACACATAGCCTTGATTACCAGGGTTTTACAATCAGTCTTAAAATCGGGTGGTATTTGTCCTCCAGTTTTTTGGGGTTTTTTTGAAGTGTCTGACTGTTCCAGTTGCTTTGCTGTTTAGAAAAAAATCTATTCTGTAGTGAATTTCCTTGAACTCACAGGAGACATTCCTTTATGAAAACTAAACTATAACGTTAGCATTTAGAGTAGCCGTTCCCTTTGGAATGTGAGTTTTGCCTGTTAAAGGGTCCCAGAGTGGCCTTCTGAGCTCTCTTTCTTGAGCTGAGTGGAGAAATCGGATGGGTGACATCAGCTGATTCTAGGTCACATGTTCTCTCCTCTGAAAAATCTCAAAATCTTCATTCCCTGGACAGGGTCAGTCACTCCATCTTCTCTGACTAACATCAGAATAATTGTAATCATTCATTTTCCAAGGAAAGGGAGTCATCTTGTTAGTTTGTTCTCTCTCTTTTTTTAAAATATATTTTTATTGATTTCAGAGAGGAAAGAAGAGGGAGAGAGAAACATCAATGATGAGAGAGAATTATGGATTGACTTCCTCCTGCACGCCCCCTACTGGGGATCGAGCCTGCAATCCAGGCATGTGTCCTGACCGGGAATCGAACCATGACCTCCTGGGTCAATAGGTCGATGCTCAACCACTGAGCCACACCAGCCGGGCTGTTTGTTTCTTTAAGTATCTTGATTAACTGGCGAAGAGTTTGTTCTCCGGGAACCTTTTCTAGTGGAAGGAATGAGCAAACGAGGGGCCTTCCTAATGAACCAGCGAGCCAAGGGCTTCTTGCCACCCCTGTGCGCGCTCCGTCATGGCCCGTTTCCCGTGGAGGTTGGGGAGGTTGTCCCAGGTGATGTCGGGAGAGCCAAGGTCTGTCCCTTCATTAGAGGAGGAACGTGTGAAGACTTTCAGGTAACCCAGTGGTTGCAGGCAGGAGGTGGAATGAGGTCAGACTCGGAGTTTGGGTAACCCTGCAGGAACAAGGCCTTCTGTGCCTCCTGGTTATGCGTGGCTACAGGGAGGAGGGTGTGGCTTGGCTTAGGCAGTAGGTTTGGCCAAGAATATTTTCACTGCAAGTTTATGAAAGGCTCCAGTAAAGGTATCTTCTACTACTAAAAATCTATTTGCTCTGCAGGGTATTTTTCCACGCCAGAAAGTTCTACTAAACCTCGGTACTAGAACCTAACAGCACGTCCTTTTTTTCCTTTTAATTTTGAAAATGTCAATAAACATAAACGTGAAGAGGGTCATAAAATGAGGGTAAATAGAGCTCACAAAACATACCGTGTGGGTCCTGGGAAGGAAAGTTCCTTCAAAGTCTGTCCTCCCTGGAAGTGACTGGACCTCGGCAATGGTTTAGCTGAGTTCCAACTGGCGAATGTAGATTTCTGTGCCAGGTTTTATTTATTTTATTTTTAATTTTTGTTATTATTTTTTAAATACATTTTTATTCATTTCAGAGAGGAAGGAAGAGGGAGAGAGAGAGAAACATCAATGATGAGAGAGAATTGTTGATGGGCTGCTTCCTGCACGCCCCCTACTGGGGATCGAGCCCACAACCCGGGCATGTGCCCCGACTGGGAATCGAACCGTGACCTCCTGGTTCCTGGATTGACACTCACCACTGAGCCACACTGGCCGGGCTGTGCCAGGTTTGTGAAGGAACCCGGGAGAGCATCTGCTCGCTTTGCGGGTCATCCTGGCAGTTCAGCGGCGTCTTCAGATGTTCAATGTATATTTTGACGAACACATTTTTATTGGCACGTGTCTGCCTGTCCTCGTTGCTCACCCGGCCGTGAATGCCTGTCTCTCCGCAGCTGTGGGGCTCCCGTCCAAGTTTCCGAGGGGAAGCTGCTGTCCTTTTCATCCGGGCCCCTCACCGTCTTCCTCCCCGCCGAGGTGAAGGCCATCGGGACGGAGCAGGACCACATCCTGCCGCTGCAAGAGCTGGCCATGCGGAGCCTGCATCACTACTACCACCGTTTCCTCAAAGGTACGGGGTCCTCCCTTCCTGCTCCACCCCGTCCAGTGAACTGAGGAATTGTGTCTCATGCCGCCTGTTTCGGTGTTCTTTTATTTATTGTGGAAAAATACACCCAAGTAAAATTTACCACGTAATCCAGTTTTTTAATTTTTATTTTACTTTAATATATTTTTTGTTGATTTCAGGGAGGAAGGGAGAGGGAGAGAGAGAAACATCAATGATGAGAGAGAATCATGGATCTGCTGCCTCCTGCATGCCTCCACACTGGGGATCAAGCCTGCAACCCGGGCATGGGCCCGTGAACAGAATCGAACCCGGAACCCTTCAGTCCATAGGCTAGTGCTCTATCCACTGGGCCAAACAGCAAGGGGCAGTTTTTTTAAAATACAACCTTGGTTTTAGTACTTTTCATTCCCTTTAAATTTTTTGTTTTTCCTTTTTTTTATTTTCAGTAAATATGATTTAAATGATTGATTCTAAATGCCCGGTAGATTTAGGAAGAACTTAATGAAAGCTCATTTTCATCTCCAGTCCAGTCCCTTTTTTATTCTCTGTCTCTTACAGAAGTTTACAAACCCTCTCTGGTAAAATCACAACTTTCTGATCTTCGTTCTTAAAGAATACTTGCTCTTATTCTCTCCTTGCCTCTTCCTCAGGACAGCTTCCGGTTGCTCTTAAAAGAGTAGTTGTGGGTTCCATCTTAGTATCAAAAATGTAAAAGCATCTTCATTTCTAAATAATGTTCCGTTCTTATTCCATGCCTGACCGATAGAAGAATTTCCAACAGGCAGTACTTTTAACTAACTGAACTGACTTGGTAACAAAGAGAACTCTATTTAAAAGCCTGGTACTACAAAGAACTCTGATTTTTTTTATTCATGCATGATTTCCTCTTATGTTCCAGATCTGAACTTCCTGTCTCCCGTCTCGTTACCCAGAAGTCTCCTGGAGCTGCTGCACTGCCCCCTGGGGCACTGCCACCGGTGTAGCGAGCCCATGTTTACAATCGTCTACCCCGCTCTTTCCC